AGACGTACCGCGGGTTTTGCCTCAAAATTTATGGGCGTAACGAGGAGTTCCGCAGCAGTCAATAAAAGAGGGTGGAAATGTGGAGAGGAGTCAAAGGTAAATAAATTGAATTCACTCTTTTTGGTTTATCGAAATGGTGTTTTTGTACTTTTTTTGTCATTTTATTCGTTTTTTTGCATTTTTTTTGTTGAATGTATTCACAAAACGCTTACATTACGCTGAATTATGCATATGAGACCCGAGCTAACTCGTCAGAACACACGTATGATACATTTTCATCGTCTTCGATAATATTTCTAGGGTCGCTACGACTCACTAGGCGTCAAATTCACGGAAGAGAAATATTCCTGAATTGCGAATGACTCAAGTCACTGGGGATATTGTACAGAGGGTGTCCCAAAACGGATCAATTAATAATAATAATAATGAGAATGATAGTTCAATTACCTTTATGAATATTAATAATTAATGATAATTTGTTTTCCATCCAAGAAATCAATAACAAAAAACATTCAGCATTTGCAAGTGGAGAATGAAATGTTCAAAAATAAAAAATTATGCAGAAAAAAATTAAAAATAATATTCCTCCCAAAGTAGAATCCGCAGTATTCTTCATTCAAAAAATTTTCAAGTCAAATTCTCGAAGAACATGACCTTGAATTTCATTCTCAAATTCAAAATTTTCCCTTCCGTTTGTTCATTCATCCCCGCAGCACAATATTTCTCATTTTCTCAGTCACCTTCATGATTTTTTTTCTATTGTGTATTTCCACTCTGAAGGTATAACCACATACTTATGCATTATTGTTCAATATGTACACAGCTGACGCAAAAGAATTTCTCAGGGATTTTTACGCATGTGGAGTTGGCGCTCGTGCCGCGGGCGAGGGCTGGCCAACCACACGAGTAAAAAAACCCCATAGCAACAGCGCGGGACAATTTTTTTCGCAGTGATTTTCAAGTTTCGGAGTTGGTAGAATTATGTAATACCAATTCACTAGCGAAACGTTAAAACGGTTCAAGTTGATTTCAACTATTGGCCAGTTTTCTATAAATATCTCAGAATCTAAAGGAGATAGCGAAATTTTTGTGATGACCTTTTTGGTAGCCCTCAGTTCGCTCTACAAAAAAGGTCCTACCGAAAATCTCGGTATCTCCCCTAGATTCGGAGATATTCCTCGAAAACCGTTTTACCGCTTCGCTACTGAATCCCCAGACAAGAAATCTTGAGAAACGACACAAAAAAATAATTTGGTTCTCCTGCTTGCACTGACAATAAAATTTCTTGGATACAACTGAATGTGTTTTGCAACGAAAATCAAATTGTCAGCACTAGGTTCAATTTTTTTTTTGAAAATTGTTAACTTGCGATTTTTTTACTTCAGACAAGACTTATTTGGGAAAATATTCGTTTTCCTCTCAGTGTGGGAGTGAGAACAGATAATGAATGCTGATTTTACTTCAATGAAAGGCACTGTATAGTGGAGAAACCATTGAGCTTTTAATTCCCTCAAGGTGGAATCGTGAGATGTTCCGAGGAAACTCGATCAGAGTCTTTATTTGTCTAGCTTTTCACCCTCTACAAGTGGGTCAATTTGAGTTTATTGGTGTTCGCTAAAAATTAAGTCGCCAGTACAATCGATAACGTTTCTCTTGAATGAACGATTCACCGAAGTGGGTGATTCACGATGAGACGGAAGTTAGTGCAAAAACTATTGTTCAGTTGTAAATTGATGGAATGAGACAAGTCAATCTCATTCACATTTTAAGTTTCAAAGAGATGTTCATCGAAATTTAATCGACAAGTTGAGTTGATTCATCTCGTTTCACCATTTCATGAATAAATTTTTATTTCAGAACTCAATGAAAGGAGGTAATTGACTCGATTAATTATCTTTAAACACAATTTGTGCGAATTTATTATGATTCGTTAGGAAAGTGGTAAAACTTGATGAAACAACTCAGGGAAATTTAAATATTTGAGGAATTTTTCTAGCTCTCTCTTCGCGTTATAAAAAAGATCCTCATGGAAACTTTATCACTCTCTAATTTCGAGATATTAATGAGAAAATTCAGTAGTGAAAGGGTAAAATTGTTCACGTCGATTCAGGCCTCAGCTGAATTTTTTGAGAATATCTCCGAATCTAAGGGAGATAGCGAAATTTTCGTGATGACCATTTTTGTAGAGCGATTTGAGGGCTACAAGAAAGGTTCTATCCAAAATTTTGCTATCTCCCCCAGATCCAAAGATATTTTAAAAGAACTGATCTTGAACTAAAAATGACGCAAATGAGAGTTAGGTGAAAGGCACCTCTTCAATCGGCAATATCCCCCGACCGAATGATTCGATTTCAACGAGTCCCATCTCATTTTAAAGCTCGAAAAAGAACCCGAAAAATGGGAGAAAAATCGGGAAATTCCACTCAGCCGTTCCCAAATTATTCGCAATTCAATTTTACCCCTCCACAACTGAACGAATTCCAGTCTAAATATTTTCCAACAATTCATGCGTGGGATTTGATAATTGAATCAAAGTCAAACGATTCACACTAAATATCTACGTAATTATTATTTTCTCTATACATTTTTGGGTCGTTGTTGTCTCCAACGATCCCCACCCACCCATTTACATAAACGCGAGATGAAGACTTAAATTTAAAAAGTAAATCAAGGATATGATAGAATCGTACAAAGTATAAGTAACAATGGTATAAGTAATGATATATCCAAACTGTATTTATATTTTTACATGTTTTCACTTGCAAGGATTTTTCTTCTAGTGCAATTGTGTCTAACCAAACTCCACAGGAGAAAAAATGACTGAAGCAGTAGTTATTCGTCACGAAAAAAACATGGTCTAATGATCTGTAAAAGGATATTTAGCCATTCGCCTCCAGTTAACCGACGAAAGAAAAATAATCATTGTGCTTAAAGTTATTCATACGTAATATGATCAAAATAATAATAAAATAATTACACCGGAGCCAATTAAACTCCCACAAAGAGAAAGAAAAAAATCTTACGATTAAACTTAACTCTAGGTGATACCAATATCTATCTCTAAATAAACAATTTCAATAAATCATATTCATTTTTCGTAATAATCGTACATGTAATGTGATTTCATTGTTGAACCAGGCAAACCCAGGGGGATTACTACAAACTGTTATGATTATTCAGACAGAATTTAATTGATGATGAAGGGACACAGCCTGTGGTGGTGGGGAACATTCCACCTTCTCATTGATACGACGAGGGAGTGATTTTTCATCAAGGGGTAACAGAATGCCGCTGGTATTTCCTGGTAAAGCTGTCGAATTTTTGGAGACCGAGGCATTTTCATCTCCAGGAGACGATGGTGAGGGTCAAATTTGGTTTGGGTTAGAGAGATGTTAATAACTTTGAGCAGGAAATCTGTTTGACAATTTCGAGGATGCGCTAGCCTTCTGTTACCCCTTAAGGGGAGAGCGTGACGTTTGATTTGAAAGTTCAGGGGATTTTTTTCTACTAAAAAATGAGAAAAATCGAGTTCTAGGTTTTTTCATTGTAGACGTGTGGCTGTAAAGCGTAAAGTCTGCAAAATAGTCGACGAAAATAAAATGCGAGCTTTTTTGAAAATTCCAATTTTTTGATTTTTTAGATTTTTTTAGTCTGAAATGATAGAGACGATAATATGGTAGTGTGATGTAAATTGAAGGGCATGACATATCAATAAACAATTTAAAATTTTTTTTGGCAATTCTCATGAAAAAAAAATAAAAAAACTGGAACTAAAAAACTCAGATTTTTTTCTTCAATGTATTGCGTGGAAACCAAAATTTAAGTGAATCCATGAAAAATCCTGGTGAGGAGACTATTTCAAAGATTTTATCCCGGTAATTTAATGCCTGGAAAAAATTGGAATTTTATTTTTTCCCATTTTTTTAGTATAAAAAAATATTAGTCACTTGAGGCTTTGAAGATCGATCAAATATGCACAAGAACAAAGAATTAGACTGAAAAAACTGATTATTATTAGTTGTTTTCCTTCAAAATGTTTAGAATAACAATTCCAAATTATTTTTTTTAATTTCAATTTTTAATTGGCCAATTTCGTTTTTATTTAAATAATTAACTAGATTTTCTCACTTCTTATTTTTGCTGTTATGTGCAACAGATGAACAATATTGACTTTTTTTTTTTTCCAGAGCCCGATGAAGCTAAAATAATTTAGCGAAACGTCGCACTGGCAATTCCATCAACCTCGTAATTATTTCTGCAATATCCCCTGACTTTTCTTATACTGATTAACATCATGGAGATGAGAACAATCATTAACTGCAATTGTTATTCTTTTTTTTTCAATTTTTGGAAAAAGCACCTCCGCAGCTGAAAAATTGGACCCATTCTTCGTTTTTATACACATGTAATCCCTCCACCACCCCTGGACTTTCAAAACCACATTGGTCCCCCCCCCCCCTAAAAACAACAATAATGTTCCACTTTTGAGAAGAACGTTAATAATGAACACAGAAATTAAGCCACGGTACGCAGTATTAAAATTGTACTCCTGTCCGCTCAATCATGATTCTGATTAACTTCGCCAACTGCATATTCCGACGAAATGTCTCCAAAGAAAACCGACAACTGAATTGTCAAAAAATCATTCAGTAATCGTAATCCTCAGTGAAAAAATTTCCCTCGAAACTCGAGTTAAGCCACCAGATACCGAGGGAAAAATACTAAAAGAATAAAAAATTGATTGGATGAATTTCCTCAATTTTACGTATCAATTCATTCGAGAAACAAAGAAAAGAAAAAAAACATACGGAGCGGACCAGCCTGCGACGTGTCTCGTTGTCTATTCGATGAAGGCGATAAGAGAAAGAAAAAGAAATATACATAACAGTCTAAATCAACGGACACGCTGTGTTTTTTGAGCTATCTATAATTGCATATATTCATCCATTAATTTAAAAAGCCAACAAATTGTTAATTAATATCACTTATTTCGTAGTTATTTTTTTTTGTTGCATATATAATACGCCTCCCATAATTACTATCATTAACTTGTAATGTACAAAACTAATCATATGGTAGCTTCCAATATATTGGTTACTCGATTTATTACCCAATTGTAATGTGATTATTTCTACACTTATTCGTGTGAAGCCCTCATGAGGCGACAGACTCCAATCCCTCATCGTTCACGTCTGAATTTCAATTTTTAAAAAATCATTGCTTCGAGGAAGAATTCATGGAGATTAACGAGATCTCTGGAGACGATTTTTTTTTGAAAATTCTTGAAAATTTCTGAGGAGAATCTGTGGCTCGGTGACTAGGCTGTCATTGGCAGATGCATTACAATAATTTTATTAATGTCCTTTTCATTTCACTGGAATGGTCTGGAAGCTGACATTTAATGATTCAATAGTCATTTTATCGTACTCGTTTGATTTCTATTGCAATAGTTACTTCGTCATTGTTAATTTTTTGGATTTTGTTTAACTATTCAATTATTCGTGGAGAAATCTCGAGTTTGCACCGGCCAATTAGTGAATTATAGCTGTCAGTAATTTCCCCGGGAATACCGTGAGAATTTTCCCAACCAGAGATTGTTAAAACTCCCATAATCTTCGACAATTCGAAAGATTTTACACACATGATTGAATCATTTCGGCAGTTTCATTCGCGATGAAAGTGCGGGTTATTATGCAGTTATGGCATGACACGGAAGACATCAAAAATAAAAAAAGACATCCCTGGTATTTTTAATGAATTCATCAAATGAGCTCGAGGATTCTCAATCTTCTCTCGTAATGATGAGTGTCAATGTTCTTTCCTCTCATGAATTTTTCGAGTTAAAAATGTAAAAATATGTCGTCTGCCTTTATTTATCAGTGTGCGTCTTGGATAAAAACAAGTCGCACTTTCTAGTTGTGAAAAAATTTGTGCTTGATTGAACCAAGACAATTTTCAGTTTCGTTCTGCTGTGTTTCACAGACGTTATTAAGCATTCATTCAGCCTCATTGACTTACTTTTCTGCCGATTCCAAGCATAAAGTTATTTCAGTTAAAAATATATATGTGATATATATTTATGCATTCATCTGAGGAGATTTAAACGCAGCCAAGAACCAGGAGGTTCTCCCCTCCTTTCATTTTTGGGATTCTTTGTTGGTCGTAGATTTAGGCACCTCCTGGGGCTTTGTGAACGAGCCTGAGTTGTGCCTGCTTCTGGACTGCTGTTTACTGAGATCGCGACTGCTGGACGAGGCTGAGATGGCATCACAAATGAAGAAAAAGACATTCCTGGTGTTTTCAATGAATTCATCCAATGAGCTCGAGGATTCTCAATCTTCTTTCGTAATGATGAGTGTCAATGTTCTTTCCTCTCATGAATTTTTCGAGTTAAAAATGTAAAAATATGTCGTCTGCCTTTATTTATCAGTGTGCGTCTTGGATAAAAACAAGTCGCACTTTCTAGTTGTGAAAAAATTTGTGCTTGATTGAACCAAGACAATTTTCAGTTTCGTTCTGCTGTGTTTCACAGACGTTATTAAGCATTCATTCAGCCTCATTGACTTACTTTTCTGCCGATTCCAAGCATAAAGTTATTTCAGTTAAAAATATATATGTGATATATATTTATGCATTCATCTGAGGAGATTTAAACGCAGCCAAGAACCAGGAGGTTCTCCCCTCCTTTCATTTTTGGGATTCTTTGCTGGTCGTAGATTTAGGCACCTCCTGGGGCTTTGTGAACGAGCCTGAGTTGTGCCTGCTTCTGGACTGCTGTTTACTGAGATCACGACTGCTGGATGAGGCCGAGTCATTGCGACGTTTTGCGTTGGAATGACCAAGTCTGCCGGAGCCGAAAGAGCCTGTGCGATTGCGATATTGAGCGAGGTTCACTGAGGCCGACGATTGCTTCTGGAGGCCAGGGGCTGGGGCTGCGCCAGAGGTGGGGAGAGTCACTGTGGATGAACCACCCGAGAGACGACGTACTCTACTCGTTGGAGAGGCTTCACCGCCACTTTCAGAGACACTACGATTCCTTCGCTTGTTGGCGACGGGACGCAGGTTGCTACCGAAACCCTGGAGCATCTCGTTTATTTGGGGCTGGAGAAGAAGTAATTAATTAAAGAATTATTCGATTATTTGAGTTCATGAGCTGCATTTGAGGAATTTTTAGGTCCTTTTTGGTGTTTCAATTTTATTCATGATGAAGGATTTTAGGAGAGAAATGAAAAGAGATTGTTCGTTTTTCGTGATTAATTAATAGTCCAGGATTTGATTTATTGAGTTGTAAATTTGTGAAAATTCCGTGATTTTTTTTTTCGTTTTGGGGGGAAAGTGTCAATAGACAGTTTCATTGGAGACGAATATTCTTTGACAATTGTTTATTATAATTGTTTAAAAACATTAAAGTTTAATTGAAGTTTCAATTAGAGCTAAATTTTTTAAGGATATTATAGAACAGCATTTCACTGAAGAAAAAATAGCCAAAGTATTTGGATATCCTTAAATCATTGAATTTCAAATAGATAAAAAATTAACAATGAATGGTATATCGAATGGAAATAATTCGTTTCTTCACGAATGAAAATACACCAAGGACACTATTTATGTAACCGAAGAAGAAAAATACCTCAACAACTCGGAAGTCCTCAATATTTTTGAATTTCGAGAGATATTCCTCAAGTTTTGGCTCCACGTGTAACTTATCAGAATTCTTGTAGTACTTCAGGAAAGCCCAGAATTTTTCTAATCCATACAATTGACCTGAAAGCAGAATTATAATTTCAGAATTGTCTCTTGCGGAGATAATAATCTTATAAATGAATTATTGGAATATCCTGTGGTCTACTTTCAAACTCCATTCATCGGTCGTGTGACCTAATGGCGTCAGCGAATCCACAGATTTATTCTAGCACAATTCATCTGACTCGCAGAGAATTATTCAATCTGTTGTACAAGATGTTTGTGCATAAAATATTCAATGATTTAGTGAAATTAGTTCGAAATATTTTCATCAATTATTTCAAATGATTAAATTTTCCGTTATTGACATGTTCAAATAATATTTTTTTAATTTAAAGTATTCAAATACTATTTTATTTATGACTTTTGACGACTCGAAAATAGTGAAGGGTCGAAACATAATTCAGATATTCATTTGTGCATAAAATATTTAATGATTGAATGAAATAATTGCAAAATTGATTTATCAATGATTTCAAATCGTAAAATATTTCTCAATTGAAATGTTCAAATAGTATTTCTTTAATTTAAAGTATTCAAATACTATTTTATTTGACTTTTGACGACTCGAAAATAGTAAAGAGCCTCGAAAATGTGAAATAGTACTAAAAATATTCCTAAAAATTGATGAATTATGAGTTCGTCACTTCACTATTGCAATAAATCATAAACAATTTAATAATTGAATGAAATAATTGCAAAATTTATTCATAAATTACGTCAAATTATAAAATTATTCTCAATTAAAATGTTCGAATAGTATTTCTTCAATTTAAACTATTCAAATACTATTTTATTAATGACATTTAACTACTCAAAAATAGTAAAAAGCCACGAATATGTGAAATAGTACTAAAAAAAATCCGAAAAATTGATGAATTGTTAATTTATCACTTCACTACTGCAACAAATCGAAAAACCTTCAACTCACCATTCTCATAATCGACGATTGTCTCGTACTGAAAGTCTTTGTACAACTGTGGTCGGAATTTTCTCTCAAGACCATAGCTGTAGTAGCGGAAGAGACACTCGAGGCCATAACGATAGCCCTCAACAGCGTCCTCCTTGGCGATAGTTCTGAATTCCTCGTACATGGTGCGATTGAAATTCTCTCTCAGGAAGAAAGACCAGAAGCGGAACAACGTGTTCATCTCCTGGGATTGGCCAATACCCAATCTCTTTCGCTCTGTAATCAATCACATCTGATTAAATATCTACTGATAACTCCAGGGGAGGAATTGTTTGGGATTTTGAAACTTCAGATCTGAATTTCTCAACAGGAATTTCTTCAGTCGGGAAAAGAAGACAATTAATAATTGGAATCATCATTTGATATTTGATAATTCTTCAATTCAATGCAGAATTATCACGTGAGGAAATAAATTGGTGAAATGTAACAAAAAATTTTAATTATTGATTTTTTTTATTACACACTTGAACCAATTTCAAATAAATAAGATCTCACGGTAAATATCAATTATTTCTTCTTGAGATACATTTACTTGAATCAAATGAAACAGTCCTTGGCGTCAAGTCACACGTATTCACCACAAAAATGGAAAAGTTCTATTTTTTTAACCTAATATAATCTCCAGTCGAGAAATTTTCTACTTTCATGAATTGATCAAAAATACGTAGCTAGGAGATGATTACATTGAGGAATGAATTGAATGTTGTTTTCTCGAATGAAACCGATGTTTAAATTGAGCTTTCCGTACATCACATTGAACGAAATTTGTGATATCCAAGTTTGTGTTGAATTGCCGTAATCTGTGATTCTGTTATTCTAAACTAATGCGATTTTTTTTAGTCAAGAAATATAAACTTCTTTCAACTCAACGACATCTTACTACAATCTCAAAGCTTTTTCCGCGTAACAATATTCATCCAGATTCGACATACGAAATGCTCACTTCAATTATAATTTACTTGGAACACCGTATGATCGTGTTGATTGAGATAACAACGTATTTAGTCATGAGAATAATTTTGATTTTTGAGTAAAAGAACGAATTTCTTGAGTTGGCAAACTTTTGGCTAGAAAGAAATCAAATACTCTCATTATTGCGACAAACAAAAGGAACTTCAATTCTAGAGAAGTTCAATTTCTCCCAATCAAATGTATCTCACGAAGAGATAACTGGTATTCCCCACGAAATCATGTTTATTTGAAAATTAACAACCAAATGATAGTTGGTTCAAATAAAATTCTCTTGATAAAATTAATTTTTTCTGCCAGTGTAAACTTAGAGTGGCTCCACTCACCTTTTAGACACCTCGAATGGTACTTGTGATACACTTGCTGCGTGAACCCATTCTCCTTCAACAAAGCATGACTGGGATGTTGGAAGGTGGGTAACGAGGAGGGCTGGCTCCCGTAACTGCTGGCGAGATATCCCTCATTGGGGCTCGTACCAGCACTGCTCCCAGTGGAGTAAGTTCTGGGTCTGTGCTCTCTGACATCCATGATCCAGCCCACGTGGTGCTCCACAGGGGGATTATTGCTGTGTCGAGTTTTTCGTTTGCGTGGTGTCCTAGGATCGACCGCTGGTTCGTCCTTAACAACAGCGAAGAACCTGGGAACAGCGCCTCCCCTTCTTCTGCAGGCACCACGCTGTCTCTCGTTCAATCTCTTCTCGCCCTTGCGATCGCGTTTGTCAGGGATTGTGGACTGTGTAGGCAGTGATGAAGAGATCTCCATGTCCTCTGAGAATGGCGGAGGCGGTGGTACCTCTGGGTTCGCTTTCCTGGGGGCCTTCGGGGCCATTTTCTCAAATGCTGCCTGACTTATCACGTTCACTGTCTTGTAGCTTCCTATCGACGAGGACGAACCTGTGGTAATTCAAGTTTCAGGGATAATAACAAAGAAAAAAAAAAGAAAAAAAAAAGAAAAAAAAAGAAAAAAAACATTTGAGAGAAAGTGAGAGTCTTCAGATTTTATCTTGGGAATTAATGCAGTAGCGAAGTGGTAAAACAGTTTAATCGACTCATCTCCCAGTTCAGTTTTTGATGAATATTTCCGAATCTAAGGGAGATAGAGAAATTTTCGTTATTATGTTTGTTGTAGCTCTCAATCGGCTCTACGAAAAAGGTTATAACAAAAATTTTACTATCTCCCTTAGATTCCGAGATATGCATTGAAAACTGGTCAATAGTCAAAATTGACTTGTACCGTTTTACCACTTCGCTACTGAATTGATAATCAAGTGAATTAATTAATGGTAATTTAGAGGTTGATTCATTGAGTTGGAATATATTGTTAGAATTTTTTTTGGAAATTAATTGACCGCTTCATGGTAATTTACAATATTTTTACTTTTATCTGAAACTGAGAAGATATTTACGCTCATATTCGAAAATTTGAGGAGATTGAGTCGTGTTATATGCCGCAAATATTGAAATTTCAATGACAGTTCAAATGTCCCAATCAATTTTAAAAATAGTAAATATAAAATTTTAAATTGAATTTATGTGATAATTAAAGTTTCAGGGATTATTAGATGAGAAAGTAAGAGTTATTCTTCAAATTTTATCTCAGAAATTAATGGGAAATCAACGGAATTGTAGAGGGGAAAATAGTCAATTAGTAAATGGACAATTAATGCCAATTTAGAGGTTGATTCATTGAGTTCAAATATATTGTTTGAATTTTTTGTAAATTAATCGACCACTTTTTGACTTTGATTTGAAACTGAGAGACTACTTAAACTCATTTTCGAAAACTGGAGTAGATTGAGTCCTGCTATATTCAGCAAATATTGAAATTTCATTCATAGTTCGAATTTCCAATTGAATGTAAAAAATAATGAATAGAAAATTTCGAATAAAAATAGTGAATTAGAAAATTGGACGGGAAAATGGACAATTAATGCCAATTTAGAGGTTGATTCATTGTGTTCAAATATATTGTTAGAATTTTTTGTAAATTAATCGCCAGCTTTTTGACTTTGATTTGAAACTGAAACATTACTTAAGCTCATATTCGAAAATTTTAGTAGATTGAGTCCTGCTATATTCATCAAATATTGAAATTTCATTCATAGTTCGAATTTCCAACTGAATTTTAAAAATAATGAATAGAAAATTTCGAATAAAAATAGTGAATTAGAAAATTGAACGGGAAAATGGACAATTAATGCCAATTTAGAGGTTGATTCATTGAGTTCAAATACATTGTTAGAAATTTAATTAATTAATTTGAATTAATTTAACTAATTAACAGCTCCGTGGTAATTCTCAAAATTTTGACTTTTCTCATTTTTAATTTCATCAAAACAGTAATTCGATATTACAAGAGCATTCACTTCATAATTCATTCCACGAAAATAATCTTCTATTTCAAAAACAGAACGGAAACTTATGCCCATATGTAAATACTTGGCTGAAGGCCCTATTTTTTGTGCATTTTTCTTACAATAAACTTTGTTAAAAATTAATCAATTAATCCTCTACATGAAATATTACGAACCGTATCGCTGTCCATCCTCTGTCCAGAGGTCCTCCTCGTAGTAGAAGAGACCGTCGTTAATCGCTTGCTCCAAATCCTGGGTCATTTTCACTCGCGTTGTCCAGTCACCTGTGCGATCATGACCCTCGTGCTTTGGAATTCGCGAGGTGGTGACAACTTGCGAGCTTGGGGCTATCTGGGTGACGATCAGGAGTTTGTTTATGTCACCGTCTGACAGCTCGTAGTCATCGTCATCCTCCGACCTTAATACAGCATTGAAAATCATTTTTAAGGGGGAATTCAACAGGTCAGGGGGTGGGGGAGGGCGAATAATTGTTTTCAGATCTTAAGATCGCAGCACGAATTATTCAGCCGGGAAAAGAAGACAAATGTAATGGGAATCATCATGTGATGGGGGTGGCAATTGGAAAAATTATGGAAATTATTTGATTTTTATTTGATTTTAATGGAATTTTTTTTTTATTGTAGGGGAGGGTGGAGTAAAATGGATACTTTTGACTTTTTTTAAATTATTCATAACTCAGAAACAAATTTATCAATTGAGATCAGTTTAGGCTCGCCACAAAGGGAATTGTTCTTTGTATTGAAAAAAAATAATTAAAATTTATCAACTTTTCAACCCCTTATTAACATTTAAAAAAGACAAGTGTCCGTTTTACCCCAACCTCCTCTATATTTAATGGAAATTCAATTTTTCATTTCATTGTAATTATTTAAAGAAGGGTTTTCAGTTGTTGTGCGTCAAATGATGGGGAAAATTTCAGAGGAAATTTTTCGGATTTGCTGCTAGTGATGGCAAATAATATTAGATTTTGACAATAGTAAGAAGGATTATCTCCTTATATTGTTCGAAGTTTCACTATATTTAACAAATTTAACATATAAAATTTCATAACTAAATTTTTCCGATTGATGGTAAATAAGATATTCGATAATATTGAAATTTAATTTTTAGGTAACAAGCTAATTCTAAATTTAGGTACTTGATTTTTCGATTATCCAAATAATCGTCAATCTTCCTACCTAAATTATTGGTTAATAGATAATGTTAATTTGAATGTACAAATTGATGGTTAATTTAATATTAAATTTTTTTAAGAATCATGTTAAAAATTGACAACTTCACAATTTAACGGGAATTATGATTGATGAATATGTCCATCACTGTTTGCTGCTTTCCAATGGAAGTTTTGAATCGTTCAAATTTGAGTTTTGAATTTTTTGTTTTATCGACTCGTTTGATTGGCTGTCGGGGACAAAAATTTTCATTACAGTTTTCGCATCTAAATGATCCCCGTGAGATCCGTTCTGGGACACCCTATAGACAGCACCATCCTTCCATTTGATTTATACAAGAATGTTCAGAAGAAATCTGACAGAATTGATTAAAGAAGGAATATAATTAAATTTATCTGAATAATATAAAACGATAAATTATATGCGATTGAATAAAATGATGTGCAAAGACCATTCGAAATACACTGCAAATTTATTAGCAACAATAGCTTAGCATAGCTGAAAACAAAGGAATTTACCACTTGTTTTTCTGGTAATCTTGACAATCACGAAAATGACTTATTCGATTTTTTAATAGTTTACGTCATCACGTGGCTACTGAAATGATTATCGTTATTGTGGGGATTATGATTATTGCTAAGCTGTTATGGTTCTTCAGCCTTGAAACTTCTGTTTCTGAAATGACATTCAGATGGATTTTATTTGTGGGGTAGTGTCAATGATAAATATCAGTAATAGTAATTTATGGCTTTTAGAAGTGACAAAATGTCACGGATTTTATCGCTCGGAAGAAATAGGAGCAGGAGTGTTCCATTATTTGTGTGGAATTTAACGGACATGCGCAATTTTTGTCATGTTTCAATGTCGAATATTTGTTGTTGGTGATAACAGTATTTTTTCCATAATTTTTCCAGCTCGCTCAATGATTTAGTTTGATATTTCAGGGTGAAATGACAAAACAGGATGAGTCTCTGATGAAAATCTCTCAATTTAGGAGATTTTTATATCATTTTTTCCTGAAACTCATCATTCGCTGCGATTTCCAGGTATTTTAATCAATTTCATGATGAGGTTTTGAAAATACCATTGAAAAAGTAAAAGAGATAATAAAATTGTTATGAGAACAGATGCAAAACGGATATATTTTCAACTGCACTGCTATGCACTGTACAATTTTTGCAATGAGAATGATTATAAACAATTGATTGAAAAAAGGAATATCGAATCTGACAGGAAAAAAGGCATAATAACAGGGCATCAAGGTGAAAAAATATTGAAATTTCAACTGATAATTCAATTGAATTCCAAATTTCTCGAGTTGCAGAAAGATGAAAATTTCCTAATATCCTTGAATTTTCAATAAAAAAATGAATATTCAGTAATAAATTAAACTGTATTGTCAATAAATTGAAAATTCGAGAGTATATTCACCTCAATTTCTCTCATTTCAATCAATTTTTATGAAATAATTCACCCAAAAATCCCACTTTCCATTCATTTTTTCATCAAATTGTCAATTTTCAATGACAAAACCCCCTGAAATCTCCGCCGAACTGTCAAATAAAATTTTTCAACAGTATACAATCGATCAATTTTATTCCACACCCCAAGCATTCATAACTAAATTTTTGAAATCGTTCCGAAAAACCTATTTTCTCTAAAAAAATTGACTCATCTTATTTCACCACTTCATACTAAGAAAAAATAATGAACTTACCATTCTGAGAAGGCGTTGTGTCGTCCTGTGGGTGGAGGAGTATCGAGTTCCTCATCGAACTGAAAGTCGAGTTCCTCTCGCTCCTCCTCTTTATGCTGATCACTTTTGGAATTGGCCTCAGGTTTGCCCCTGGGTGGCTGTTTAACCCGCCTCTTGACTTCCTTCCAGACATCATTGGCAGGCACCTCAGCCTCTCCATTCACCTGAACCCTCGGGCCCTTCGACGGAGCTGCAGCTGATGCTGACGAATTTTGGCTCAATTCGTTTGCTTCGCTCTGCATCACTCTGACCGCCTCCTGGGACTGACTCTCACTGCGATTGTGCGACGATTCAGACGTTTTTTTAATATTATTATTCGAGGACTCTTGATCCTTCGTGGAATTACCAACCGAGGGATCAGTATTTGACGCAACATTAATGGGAATAAATTCTGGTACATCGGGATTAAGGGTCTCACCTATGGACGAGGACACACTTTCACATTCACTTAGTCTGGACGGGACTATGACGGACTGGAGGACACGAGGTAGTGGTGGTGTTGGAATTGTGGTTAGGGGTGTTGCAGCTGGACAGAATTGGGGTTTTTCTGGTGCTGGAATCTCTGGACGAGGGATGGGGGGCTGGGAGGTCTCTGAATCGGGGTATGGGGGATTTGCTGATTCAACTGCTATCGGCCACTTCATCGGGTCTAGTCTTGTTCTGACCTGGAATTAGAGAACAAAAGGATTCTGTCGTAATTAATTTTGTTTTAGATTCAGTTAATTATCATCATTTAAATATTTTACATTTACTCAATTATTTACTTAATAGTTTTACATTTACTTGATTACCTTCATGATTTAAGTATTTTTAATCATTTTTTAGTTTGAATGGATTTTTTAAATTACTTAAACATCGTAAAATTTCATTTCGAACAGGAGTAAATTTATTATGAATTCAAGAACGATATTTGTGGAGTGAAAGATTTATTTTTATATCGATTATTCATGGAAAAAAGTCCCTGTTCTGAGAATTTTTGGGATTTTTTTCTTGTTTTTCAGGTTCAAAACACTTTTAAATTGGGAAAAATTCTTCAATTGGATTTTTAAAATCATTTAAACTTCGTAAAATCACAGTTAAAACATCAGTGAATTCAGTATAAATTGAAGAAAAATATTTGTAGAGGAGAAAATTCATGTTTTCTCGGTTTTGATTCATTTGCCTTGTTCATAAATTAGTTATAAACACCAATTTTTCCAATCTAAAAATCTCAAAAGTTTAAACAATTTCTATTATTCCTGTTCTAGATGAGAACATTTAAATTATAGAAGCATTTTTGCTATTTAACCATTCCAATACTCGAGAAGAATATTTTCAATTCAAAATTTTCAACTCAGAGTTCATTCAATTGACAAATTTAATAATCGAAAATTTTCAAATCTAAAATGTACTTCATACTAAACAACAAATCCACTTCAAACTGTGGAATTATATCCTCAATGTATAAATTGTGACGTAATCTACTTTCAAACTCCATTCATCGAGTTCCTGGGAACCCTAATGGCGTTAGCGAACTCACGTCGACTTTACTCTAGCACATTTCTGGCATCCAGTAGCTAGATAACGCAACTGAATGTCTTGTAACATGTGCAACAAAAATAATGAAATAATTTAAACTCATCCAAGTACTTTGGCTATTTTTTCTCGAGTGAAATGATTTTCCGGACATTTTACAATGATTTAAATATTCAAACTTTCCAGGTCTGAATTTGAATCTCGATATTGAACCGTTAGAAACTATTTTAAAAATCTGAAAAAAATTAGAGTGTTTACTTTTGGAGGAAGATTGACGAAATAATTAAAAAAGTGCAATTTTTCAAATAAATATTTTAAAATAATAATTCTGTGCAAAATGTACTTTGAATGACGTTGAATATTAATGATTTTGCCAAATTTGGTGATTGAAAATGGTTGAATATACAGTCTGGTCTATACCAAACTATAAAAGATACTTAGATATTCTCAAATCCAAATCAACCAAGAATTAAATCTATTCACCTTAAAACAGTTGACCATTTCCAATTTGTCTGACTCCAGAATCGATTCAATGACCAAAGCAACATCTGTCGTGAGCGCTTGGACTCGGTGGAAGGAGGCTATCAGCGTGATAGGCAGAAAGCCCTCGGCATCCATCTTACGACGCATGAAAAAGTCTCTCAACAGATTCTCCTCACTGAAGTAGTACTCAATCTGTTTCCTTATGTACTCTTTCAGTGTCGTTGTGTCGAGATTAACATAGCTCGTTGCATTGAAGAAAAACGTGCCCATGTAGGGCATCATGTACGATGGATCAGCATTATTGAACGGTTTCATCTAAAAATGAAAAAATGAAAAATCATCGTTATTGTGTTCCACGCAAAATACACTTCTTCATGTCATTTTTTTAATCATCAGAATTTGTTTTTTTATACTTCAAGAAGTTTTCAGAGAGATTCCCTACTAAAGATCATCATTATGTATTTGGGATTGGAAGTTATTATGGGCAACATTAATTTATGTCATCTTATAAGACAAATGGTAAATAAAAAACAAAACGGAAAATGAAACTTTTGGATTGGAACAATAATTGCCTGAATTTTCAAAATTTCTTATCATTTTCATTGTTGGAAGGTACTGGAATTTCCTTTTATATTCAAAAAATTATGATTCACTAATAAAAACGTGGAAATGTCCATATTTTTCTACTTGAAAAATTTTCTATTTGAAATTTTACGTAATTCGAGTAATTCTCTGATGTTTTAGGGGAAATTTCGGAATTCTTATTTTTTCCAACAATTATTATGAAGTGAAATACAATAATTTCAACCCTAGATCTAATGTATGCTGTAGGAGTATTAAAAATTCTCAAATTTTCCTTTATTTAATTCTCAAGAAGACCCAAGTGAGTTTAAAGAAAGTATAAATTTGTCTTATAAGATGACATAAATTAATGGGCAACATTAATTTATGTCATCTTATAAGACAAATGGTAAATAAAAAACAAAACGGAAAATCAAACTTTTGGATTGGAACAATAATTGCCTGAATTTTCAAAATTTCTTATCATTTTCATTGTTGGAAGGTACTGAAATTTCCTTTTATATTCAAAAAATTATGATTCACTAATAAAAACGTGGAAATGTCCATATTTTTCTACTTGAAAAATTTTCTATTTGAAATTTTACGTAATTCGAGTAATTCTCTGATGTTTTAGGGGAAATTTCGGAATTCTTATTTTTTCCAACAATTATTATGAAGTGAAATACAATAATTTCAACCCTAGATCTAATGTATGCTGTAGGAGTATTAAAAATTCTCAAATTTTCCTTTATTTAATTCTCAAGAAGACCCAAGTGAGTTTAAAGAAAGTATAAATTTGTCTTATAAGATGACATAAATTAATGGGCAACATTAATTTATGTCATCTTATAAGACAAATGGTAAATAAAAAACAAAACGGAAAATCAAACTTTTCGATTGGAACAATAATTGCCTGAATTTTCAAAATTTCTTATCATTTTCATTGTTGGAAGGTACTGAAATTTCCTTTTATATTCAAAAAATTATGATTCACTAATAAAAACGTGGAAATGTCCATATTTTTCTACTTGAAAAATTTTCTATTTGAAATTTTACGTAATTCGAGTAATTCTCTGATGTTTTAGGGGAAATTTCGGAATTCTTATTTTTTCCAACAATTATTATGAAGTGAAATACAATAATTTCAAACCTAGATCTAATGTATGCTGTAGGAGTATTAAAAATTCCCAAATTTAGTTTATTCAATTCTCAAGAAGACCCAAGTGAGTTTAAAGAAAGTTTAAATTTGTTTTATAAGATGACATAAATTAATGTTGCCCATTAATTTATGTCATCTTATAAGACAAATGGTAAATAAAAAACAAAACGAAAAATGAAACTTTTGGATTGGAACAATAATTGCCTGAATTTTCACAATTTCTCATAATTTTCATTGTTGGAAGGTACTGAAATTTCCTTTTATATTCAAAAAATTATGATTCACTAATAAAAACGTGGAAATGTCCATATTTTTCTACTTGAAAAATTTTCTATTTGAAATTTTACGTAATTCGAGTAATTCTCTGATGTTTTAGGGGAAATTTCGGAATTCTTATTTTTTCCAACAATTATTATGAAGTGAAATACAATAATTTCAACCCTAGATCTAATGTATGCTGTAGGAGTATTAAAAATTCTCCAATTTAATTCATTTAATTCGCAAGAAGACCCAAATGAGTTAAAATCCGTTCCAACATTTTTAATGAAATATCAAAGCTTCAATTTAAGCCCCATTTGATCCAAAATGATCAAACATTTCTCACTGATTTTGTCAGTTCCTTATTCATCTTCTGAATTCAATAAAATTGAGCCTGAATTTTCACAATTTCGAATCATTCTCATTGTTGGAAGTAATTAAAATTTTCTTGTATAATCAAAAAACTAACTGATTCGCAAATAGAAACATGGTAATGTCCTCTTGAAAATGTCTAATGTCCTCTGATTTTTTAAATTATCCATTGCTTATAAGTGAAGATAATTAATGCATTATTTATGTGCCCTCGAGGGATTGTGTGCCTCAGATTATAATAAAACGTGTTAAATCATACCTGTGAAAAATCCCCAGCATAGTCCCCAGAATAATCAACATCCTGTCTCTGTCTGTACCCTCCACCTCTCGATGGACCGCGGCCCCTGCCGCCTCTTCCCCTGTAACTCCTCCCTCCCCGACCGCTCTTGAAGCCATATCCAGGCCTCTCGTGTTCCCGTTCTTTCCACACCTCCTCACCTGGAGTGAAACAAGCATTTCGCATTAATAATATTCTCACAAACTCAACCTGTCAATGTTCAAGTCTCAGATATTTCAGTTCTACTTTCGTTAATCTTCACTGATTTTTCAGAGAGATTCCCTACTTTGATGTCATCATGTTAATGAATTCAGAAAAAAATTAATAAATAACAATTTTAGTGATTTTAATTTTTTTAATTTGAAGGATTTAATTTTTTTAGTGAAAACCAAATACTCACTCTCACTACTTCGTTCTCTGTGATTTTGATGCTTGGGGGAACGGTCTCGTTTCCCCCTACTTTTGGCAATGTCAATTTCCAATGGCACCCATTTTTGTTTATTTACTACAAAACAGAATATTAATAATACAAGGGTTAAAACAACACTCATTCAACTCTCTGCAGAAATTAGTGAATTATATTTCGGAGGTGGGAGGGATTAAAATTATTGAGAGATTATTCCACGAGTCAAATTGTCGATTTGTAAAACGAAATAAATTAATTCAAGTGGAGTTTGAATTTAATTGAAGATCAAATTATTCACGAAATGTCTTATTGATCTTAAAAATTTAATATAATTGGGCTTGATTTTTTAAATTCATTATAAAAATTCAACATTGCATGCAATTGAATTATCACTACGCTGAAAATTCAGAATAATTAATTCTCTCATTAACAAACTGTTGCCACATGGAATCCAATAATTTCCACCCCTTACCACCAATTTATTCTCCAGAAGTATTAAAACCCCTCAAATCTGGTGGCAAATTTCATGTCCAAAAAATAATTTACAGGTTTTATCAAAAAATCGTAACGCTTACTCTTCTTTTTTTTGTCATTGGCATCAGTGTGCTCATCACTGTCATCCTGACAGTGATTTAGCTCTTTATTCTCCTGCCCCTTGCTCTCCACACTGCCGGCACTGCCTTCCTTAGAGTTACTAGGCTCTTCAACACCGTTTTGTTTAGCCGTTGGGACCGGCGTTTTGTTCTAAACCAGAATTTATCAATTACCTTCTGCGGAAAATCGTCAACTTGGAAAAGTCCCGAGAAATGTTGAGGAGAAAAAGAATGTCTCAACGCAATTTGTGCAATTTATGCAGACGATAAGTTGGCAGAATATTTCGCGTTTAATGTTGATTTAGCAAAAATTCTACACCTGCAGGCTGATAACGTAACACTGCTGGCTCTAGTTTTTGCGTCACTCGGTCGTATGGCGCGGGTAATTGCCCGACAGTGGGAAAAGAACGATAATCAAGATGATACGAGTGGGAGAGAAAGGTGATATAAAGGGAAAGGTACCTCGCCTTGAGCTCCCAGAGACGGCCAGTCTCCAATATCTGTGAAGTCACTTGCCTGAAAAATAAAAAACATCACAATCTCCATGAGTATTTATTCATTAGTCCAGATGTTGTCTGACGCATCGTGAGGGTAGCTCGGGGGGATTATTTAGAGGCGAAAACTCGAATGAAATATTTGTCTCCGGCGCTTCGTTAAGGAGTTATTCGTCAAAGCAAAAATCCACCGCAAATCACCCTCTTTTTGAAAGTTTATATCTCCTTTCTCACTCGGGCTGGCGGAATGAAAATGATGGCAATCGATTGGGCTTTTAATGCACAATGATCTGGAAAAAAATTGTTCCTCTATCATCATGCCCGGGTGAGAAAAGCCGTAATGAATTTCAGAAATCAGAGTCAACGTAAAAAATTCATATCAGCACTCCCATTCAATATCGAGGAATGAAATTGATTGAAATCGATTGGACATTCAATGCCATCACCCCTCTGCCTTAAATGGGAAAGGGGGTATGATCTCTCTATCGGAGAATAGCGTTTGATTGGCTGTCCTTTTTTTCTTGAGATCGGCCGCGCGTGCTGCGCACGCACCTTCTCATCTCCTCACGTAGAGGCGCTTCGGTTTCAATCTTACGGTTACGCTTATTCGAGATTTTCGAGATATTTCGAGATCGATTGCTTTTCTACTTTTTTACGATGGGATAACTCAGAAACAAAGCGTCGGAGACAAAAATTTCAGTGGTTTTCGCATCCAAATAATCCCTCGAGACACCCTCACGATATGTAGGATCCGCTTTGGGACACTCTTTATATACAATTCTGTTATTTTATCTGAGTAATGAAGAAATAAAATTTTGAATTCATCAGCAACAGTTAAAGTAGTACAAGCATGACTTGAATTTTGAAGATTAAAATCTGAAATAAATTCTAAACGAAAGTTAATGTGGATAGACACAATCTAGTTGCGTATACGCTCAATCGACAGTCCAGTATTATTGATAGTAATTCAGTAGCGAAGTGGTAGAGCGGTTTAATTCAATTTTGACTATTGACCAGTTTTCAATAAATATCTCGGAATCAAAGGGCAATAGCAAAATTTTTGTTATAACCTTTTTTGTAAAGCCGATTGAGAGCTAAAATAAATGTAATTACGATAATTTCGCTATTTCCATTAAATTCGGAAATATTCTTCAAATACTCAATTGGGAGATGAGTCGACTTAAACCGGTTTACCACTTCGCTATTGAATTAATCTAGAAGTGCAAAAATACCACAGTCTTATGAGAAAATTATCAGTGGTGAACAATTTTTTTTTATTGCAAAACGCAGGCTTCTGATTCATGACAAGAAAGAGTGGTTCAAGGAAAAAATGTCACGAGAGAAATTGTGTTTTAATATTTTCACCTAAAACCATTAACTAATTAGATAAAAATTGGGAATAAAAAAATATGAGTTCAATTCTATAAATTTTTCTTACCTTTTGATTATATTTTCTTCTGTCTTTTGGTGCCTTCACAATTGTCGGTTGAACAGCAGCGGCGGGGCCGTTTTCTGAAATCATAAAGAGATGTGTAAATCACTCATGATTTTCGAAATCGAAATCCCCGAAAATTACGAATCTGCGATAAAATAATTTAAATCAACTTTATAAAAATTTCCCCATCATCCCACTTTCGTTTCCAGTTATTCAGCAAAATTGGAGTTTAACAATTCTGTTATTTTGTTCCACTCCCTCGCAATTAATTTAATTCTACCGAACGACAGGAAAGAATGAGCATCAATAATACCTATCGTCACATTATTTTTCCGTTATCATTAAAGAAACGTCAGACCCCCAGACAAGTTGTAAACTATTCATGCAATCGCGTGAAACGTTTTTAATGCTGTCTAAAATTTAATCGGCGACCTTCGACCAACAGAAATACGTCACGAAAGACCATATTTTTTCCTCAAAAAGAGGGTATTTCAGATAGCAACTTTGGTTGGAATATTAAGGGGCAGAACACGTTAGTAGGTCATCCACACGGAGAGAAATATTCAGTAAAAATTAGGGAACTCACAATTCGCTTACTGATTACGGAATCTACTCAGAAAATTTAAGTGACGGTATCTAGTCCACACGCAATTGAAAGCCCGAGTCGTAGACCCGAGTTTGTAGCAGCGATGTCAGACAAGATATGAATGTTTTTTTGGGCTCAAATGAAAGAGCGGGTCGAGAAATGACGTGCTAGAGCCTCTAAACATGACAAATGTCTCTAAAGATGATATCTGTTTTCAATTGAAAAGCAGAGTTGTGACATCATTGTCTAGGAGGACAATGGGGTCTAGGAGTATGTATAGAACATTGGGGTCTAGGAGTCTCCCCTGGTTCAAAACCATCTTTAGAGGTCCTAGCACGCCATTTCTCGACCCGCTCTTTCGTTTGAGCCCAAAAAAACATTCATATCTTGTCTGACATCTTTGCTACAAACTCGGGTCTTCAACTCGGGCTTTCAATTGAAGGCCCGAGTTGTAGACCCGAGTTTGTAGCAGCGATGTCAGACAAGATATGAATGTTTTTTTGGGCTCAAATGAAAGAGCGGGTCGAGAAATGACGTGCTAGAGCCTCTAAACATGACAAATGTCTCTAAAGATGATATCTGTTTTCAATTGAAAAGCAGAGTTGTGACATCATTGTCTAGGAGGACAATGGGGTCTAGGAGTATGTATAGAACATTGGGGTCTAGGAGTCTCCCCTGGTTCAAAACCATCTTTAGAGGTCCTAGCACGCCATTTCTCGACCCGCTCTTTCGTTTGAGCCCAAAAAAACATTCATATCTTGTCTGACATCTTTGCTACAAACTCGGGTCTTCAACTCGGGTTTTCAATTGAAGGCCCGAGTTGTAGACCCGAGTTTGTAGCAGCGATGTCAGACAAGATATGAATGTTTTTTTGGGCTCAAATGAAAGAGCGGGTCGAGAAATGACGTGCTAGAGCCTCTAAACATGACAAATGTCTCTAAAGATGATATCTGTTTTCAATTGAAAAGCAGAGTTGTGACATCATTGTCTAGGAGGACAATGGGGTCTAGGAGTATGTATAGAACATTGGGGTCTAGGAGTCTCCCCTGGTTCAAAACCATCTTTAGAGGTCCTAGCACGCCATTTCTCGACCCGCTCTTTCGTTTGAGCCCAAAAAAACATTCATATCTTGTCTGACATCTTTGCTACAAACTCGGGTCTTCAACTCGGGCTTTCAATTGAAGGCCCGAGTTGTAGACCCGAGTTTGTAGCAGCGATGTCAGACAAGATATGAATGTTTTTTTGGGCTCAAATGAAAGAGCGGGTCGAGAAATGACGTGCTAGAGCCTCTAAACATGACAAATGTCTCTAAAGATGATATCTGTTTTCAATTGAAAAGCAGAGTTGTGACATCATTGTCTAGGAGGACAATGGGGTCTAGGAGTATGTATAGAACATTGGGGTCTAGGAGTCTCCCCTGGTTCAAAACCATCTTTAGAGGTCCTAGCACGCCATTTCTCGACCCGCTCTTTCGTTTGAGCCCAAAAAAACATTCATATCTTGTCTGACATCTTTGCTACAAACTCGGGTCTTCAACTCGGGCTTTCAATTGAAGGCCCGAGTTGTAGACCCGAGTTTGTAGCAGCGATGTCAGACAAGATATGAATGTTTTTTTGGGCTCAAATGAAAGAGCGGGTCGAGAAATGACGTGCTAGAGCCTCTAAACATGACAAATGTCTCTAAAGATGATATCTGTTTTCAATTGAAAAGCAGAGTTGTGACATCATTGTCTAGGAGGACAATGGGGTCTAGGAGTATGTATAGAACATTGGGGTCTAGGAGTCTCCCCTGGTTCAAAACCATCTTTAGAGGTCCTAGCACGCCATTTCTCGACCCGCTCTTTCGTTTGAGCCCAAAAAAACATTCATATCTTGTCTGACATCTTTGCTACAAACTCGGGTCTTCAACTCGGGCTTTCAATTGAAGGCCCGAGTTGTAGACCCGAGTTTGTAGCAGCGATGTCAGACAAGATATGAATGTTTTTTTGGGCTCAAATGAAAGAGCGGGTCGAGAAATGACGTGCTAGAGCCTCTAAACATGACAAATGTCTCTAAAGATGATATCTGTTTTCAATTGAAAAGCAGAGTTGTGACATCATTGTCTAGGAGGACAATGGGGTCTAGGAGTATGTATAGAACATTGGGGTCTAGGAGTCTCCCCTGGTTCAAAACCATCTTTAGAGGTCCTAGCACGCCATTTCTCGACCCGCTCTTTCGTTTGAGCCCAAAAAAACATTCATATCTTGTCTGACATCTTTGCTACAAACTCGGGTCTTCAACTCGGGTTTTCAATTGAAGGCCCGAGTTGTAGACCCGAGTTTGTAGCAGCGATGTCAGACAAGATATGAATGTTTTTTTGGGCTCAAATGAAAGAGCGGGTCGAGAAATGACGTGCTAGAGCCTCTAAACATGACAAATGTCTCTAAAGATGATATCTGTTTTCAATTGAAAAGCAGAGTTGTGACATCATTGTCTAGGAGGACAATGGGGTCTAGGAGTATGTATAGAACATTGGGGTCTAGGAGTCTCCCCTGGTTCAAAACCATCTTTAGAGGTCCTAGCACGCCATTTCTCGACCCGCTCTTTCGTTTGAGCCCAAAAAAACATTCATATCTTGTCTGACATCTTTGCTACAAACTCGGGTCTTCAACTCGGGCTTTCAATTGAAGGCCCGAGTTGTAGACCCGAGTTTGTAGCAGCGATGTCAGACAAGATATGAATGTTTTTTTGGGCTCAAATGAAAGAGCGGGTCGAGAAATGACGTGCTAGAGCCTCTAAACATGACAAATGTCTCTAAAGATGATATCTGTTTTCAATTGAAAAGCAGAGTTGTGACATCATTGTCTAGGAGGACAATGGGGTCTAGGAGTATGTATAGAACATTGGGGTCTAGGAGTCTCCCCTGGTTCAAAACCATCTTTAGAGGTCCTAGCACGCCATTTCTCGACCCGCTCTTTCGTTTGAGCCCAAAAAAACATTCATATCTTGTCTGACATCTTTGCTACAAACTCGGGTCTTCAACTCGGGCTTTCAATTGAAGGCCCGAGTTGTAGACCCGAGTTTGTAGCAGCGATGTCAGACAAGATATGAATGTTTTTTTGGGCTCAAATGAAAGAGCGGGTCGAGAAATGACGTGCTAGAGCCTCTAAACATGACAAATGTCTCTAAAGATGATATCTGTTTTCAATTGAAAAGCAGAGTTGTGACATCATTGTCTAGGAGGACAATGGGGTCTAGGAGTATGTATAGAACATTGGGGTCTAGGAGTCTCCCCTGGTTCAAAACCATCTTTAGAGGTCCTAGCACGCCATTTCTCGACCCGCTCTTTCGTTTGAGCCCAAAAAAACATTCATATCTTGTCTGACATCTTTGCTACAAACTCGGGTCTTCAACTCGGGTTTTCAATTGAAAGCCCGAGTTGTAGACCCGAGTTTGTAGCAGCGATGTCAGACAAGATATGAATGTTTTTTTGGGCTCAAACGAAAGAGCGGGTCGAGAAATGACGTGCTAGAGCCTCTAAACATGACAAACGAACGCCCACCTGACATTTTTAATACACTCACACCATGAATTTAAAGTGAATACTGCACAAAGAATGAATGTCATCCAGAATTTATTTCTCGTCAATAACTTATGATTATAAATTTCCTGTCACCGACTGATAGAACTCAATAGTTAATTAGTTAATTCAATACTCCGGCCCGAAGAGACTCTGAAAAAAATCACGTATTTAAATGTGACGAACATTCTCTTACGAGGATCGGAGGAAGACTGATTTATCGGAGTATTTTCTAAACGTCAGTTGACTAAAACAAGAAGAAACAAGAATATTTTTGCAGCTGTCCCCTCCGAATTTTCTTGGAATTGAAATTTCGCAGAAATAATCCAAATAAATATCTCTCATACTTGGAGTATTAGTGTTTTGTGTGTTTTTGTTTTCCTTTCTATGTACCAATACATGAGTAGAGGTCGTTTTATCTGAGAAAAATGACGGATTGATGAGCATTCAGAGGACGTCGAGCGTCCCACCCATCTTCGCGCGTCGCGCATCCTCCCGCGCCTACCTGGTGGACCATATTTCAGCAACGGATTGATGGATTTTGATTTAAAAAAAATGATAATTATTTATTACACAAAAAGGAACAACTTTTGTCATGCACATTTTCTTCTATTTGCCAATGTTTCCCATAAAAAAAACCACTTAATTTGTTTATAACTATTAATTGCACGCACTTACATAAAAAATACCACCGGATTCGGATTTCTCATACCCGAAGACATAAGAAAACACCTCAAAACCTTACCGCACTAGAAGTGCACACGGGAAGGGGGTATTGCGTGTGGACTAATCGTAATTTTTCACATGAGATTCAGAAAAAAATTACGAAACGCTCTGGAAAAATTCCGTGACAGTTCCGTAAAATTTCCCACAGCCACATTTCGCTTCGAAATTACGGAAAAGATACGTAATTTTTATTGAATATTTCCCTCC